GAATGAGAGAGGGGGAGGGAGAGGGAGAGGGAGGGGAGGATGGCGAGAGAATACAGTTGGGGGGGGGGGGCGTACTCTTATGCTTTGCATGCCTTAGCGGTTAGACCATTGGCCACGCGTGCTCGAGAGGACGGAGCATTGTTCCCACGAATACATACAGATGGGGGGGGAGGGAGAAATAAACACAGACGGAGACGGGGGGGTGGGAGGAGAGCAACGCGATGCGGAGAGAAAGGGGAGGGCAACGGGCAAGGGAGAGAACGAACCAATGTGGCGCAATAACGAGCAAAAGACATACACGGTAGAACGAAACAGGGAGAGTAGATGACACAAGGGGGGGAGAGCTCTTTGCTACTCTTGCTTGCCTCGGCCCCTTTGGCCGTTGACCTCGCAACAAAAAGCGTTGAAGTCAACCACCGATCGATTTGTTGTACAGCGACTAAGATTGGCGGGCGACCTCCCAGCGCTTGTCCTTACCTCCACCGCTGTGCGCCTGCTGCTGCCGTTCCCCCCTACCCGCTTTTGCAGTCCTGTACATCAGCACTCAACGACGAAGGTGATGCGGCGGGACCAAAAATCACCACACCCCCAGCATACCTTGCTTTGGAGGGATGCTCGGCCTCAACTTTACCCGGGACTCTTTGCGTCCGTCCGATCACGCAAACTGGCTCCTACTTTTAAATCTCTCGCTTGCTGATAGCAGGGCCGAGCGCGGTGGAGCGGGGTGCGGGGCGGGGCGGAGCGGAGCGTTTGCAAACCTGCCATTTGTTGTAGATCGAAGACAAGTGCAGTTTCGCTTACCCACCGCTGCACGCAAGACGTTGTATACCTTTAGTCTTGATGTCATCTGGCGTTTCTTTTTAATTATCGCTTGTTCGGTCCCCCCCCCCCCGAGACCACCGCACGCACATGAAGTATGTAGAAGGTACTGAGTCTCGTCGATACCTTTGTGCTCCCGCATGTCTTTTGCCATGAGAGATCGCTCCGCCGTAAGGGGGCTGAGTGGCCAATATTCCCGACTTGCCACATTTCCTCCGGGGTTTGATCTTTTTTTCGTGGAGAAGCACGATATACGTGGTGAAGGATATTAGTGTTGTGCCCTGTCGATTCGAATCCCTCCGGATGTTGGTTTTCATCGAACGAAGTGGAATCGAGTATCGAAAGGCGATCGAAAATCTCTTTTTGAGTAGGAGACCCTTCACATTCTGAAAGGGGAAGCGATAATGATGGAGTGTGTTGTGTTGTTTCCAAGTGTTGTATTGTACGCATATGTAATCCCGTTTTGTTGTCCGCGGCTCGCAGTTGTTTTCCGTACCGCCAAGGTTGAAAGGTACGACCGTCCATCGTGACAAGACAGTGGTTTACCGGGAATTGAACGAAGATTGTGTTGGTAGACAGCTTCTGGCCATATGCTTCGCTGCCTTTGAATGGCAGAGCAGAGAAGCGAAGGCCCTGGGTAGAAGCTTTTCTTTATTCATCTCAAGACGATGTCGACAACAACGGTACCAGGTTTCCACGGTGGAAGGCTTGACTAACTGAAAGCGACCGTACACTCAGCGGAAGGGTTCAGCCGAGTCGCAACAGACATTTCGAAACGGTAACCACGTATAGCCAGAAACGAGCAAATGAACAAATAGAAAAGCTCGGCGGAGGTGCGTGTGCGTGTCTGGCTCTGTTCAATGTGGACGTCGGGGAGTCTGTAGCAAGTAGGTTCGAGGGACGAAAAAAAAGACGCTCGAACAAGAACTCGAAGAAACAAAGTTGATTTCCTTTCTTGGGACTCTTCAACTCTCGGCAGCAGCAGCAGCAGCAGCAGCAGCACTTGTGAAATGCAACCCCCCAATACCCCCCAATAATAAATTAAGTCATACGCAGCTGTCATCCGTACGCAGGGAAGTAAGCACAAGATGCCGAACACCCTTAGCAGGATGCAGCGCACCCTTCATGCGACTCGCCGAATACCTCACGGCGCTTCGCGCTTGGTGATGTGAGAGCCTGGTCCGGTGAGAACCCGGCGTGCTCCGTCCCGGCTTCGTAGG